AAACTAATAAGGTCTGCACAATGTACCAAGTTTCATTGAAATGTGATTAGAACTCAAAAAATATTAATTATTATGCTAATTAGAGAGTTAATATGAACAGATTTTAACCCAAAATTAATCAGGCTGTCTATTGTCCTAGAGCATTTATGTACCAAGTTTTATTCAAATGTGATGATCAATACTTGAGATATCAGTATTAATTATTTATGTTAATTAAGTGATTAAGAAGCATACATATTTACCAAAAACTGATATGATGTATAGTCCTAGGTTCATTGAAATGTGATGAGTACTCTTTAAAAGTTTCATTGAAATCCAATGACTGGTTTGTAGACATCAGTGCAACAGCCATAGAACAGCAAAAAATTAACTAATTATGCAAATTAGGTAATTAATAGGCACAATTATTTATCCCAAAATTAATCAGGTCTCTGCATATTCCTAGAAAATGTCGCAAGTCTCATTAAAATGTGATGATTAGTACTTGAGATATCAGGTGAAAAGCTGAAAATTAACTAATTATGCTAATAAGGTGATTAATATGCACAAATATTTACCCAAAAACTAATTAGGTCTCTGCACAGTCCTCAAGTAACTATGTACCAAGTTTCATTGAAATGTGATCATTACTACTCGAAATATCAAAAGCTGAAAATTAATTAATATGTACTGATATTACCCTAAACACTACCAGGTCTGTGCAGTGTCATATGACATCTATGTACCAAGTTTTATTGAAATGTTATGATTAGTACTTGAGATATCAGTGGAAAAGCCGAAAATTGATTAATCATTATGTAAATTAGGTAATTAATAATATTAAAAGACTTTTACCCAAAACTAATCAAATCTGCGCATTAGTTCAGAGCATCCATGTGCCAAGTTTCATTGAAATCCAATGAGTGGTTCTTCAAATATCAGTGGAACAGTCATGGAACAGCTTGAAATCAGTTAATTATCATTCAAATTAGATAATTAATATTCATAGATTTTTACCCAAAACTAATCAAATCTGCGCACACTAGTTCAGAGCATCCATGTGCCAAGTTTCATCAAAATCCAATGAGTGGTTCTTCAGATATCAGTGGAACAGTCTTGGAACAGCTAAAAATCAGCTAATTATCATGCAAATTAGGTAATTAATATTCATAGATTTTTACCAAAACCTAATCAACTCTGCGCATTATCCCAGAGGATCTATGTACCAAGTTTCACCAAAATTTGATTAGTGGTTCTTGAGATAACGGTGGAACAAAAAAAGTGACATACATACAGACATACAGACATACAGACAGGTAACTGCAAAGACTCCCTTTTGTGCTTCGCACACGGGAGTCAAAAAGTATTTCAATCATGCAAATTAGCAGATTATTGTGCACACATTTTCACATAAAATAATGAGGTTTATAAACCACCATGCAGAAAGAAAAAAAGGAAAAATGTGGCTAATTTTTATGCAAATTATTTACCGATTTTTTTTTTGAACAGTTCTCGGAATATCTGTAGTACAGCTAAAAATGGTTATGATAATATACATGGATTTTAACCAAAAACTAATCATGTGTGCTGGTTATCTCAGAGCACATATATACCAAATTTTGTTGAAATATGTTAATCTGCTTCTCAAGATATTATCACATTGTAGAACAGTCATATTCACACACATCAACACAGACAGGGTAAACTCAAAGATTCTCCTTATGTGTTTCCCACACAGAAGTAAAAAAAAAAGTTGCTATGCAAGTATCCAGAGAGGACAGGAGCAGTGATGTATTTATTGTAGATAGTATACTTCTGAATTACTAGTTTAATATACAGATAAAGTCAAATCATTCTTTCAGATTAAGAAATGGCTCAAACTGTACCTTTTCTATTATTACTTTTAACAAATCTAGATGACTGAATATTCAGAACTGTGTTTTGATTATTTTTTATTTATTCATTTGCACCATTCATTGAGAATATCTAGGTAATGGTATTCCAATTACTAAGAGCTGTCTGGTCAAGCAGACACAGTAATGAACAATTCCCATGCAAACAATAGCAAAGTATCCGCTAAAATTAAACAAACTGAACCATAACAAAATTGAGAACCCCCAATAACCACCTAACATGAACAATTAGAATGGAACGTGTCCTTGACAACTAAGGCACTTTCATGAAAATAATGAATTGTAAGACAACCCTGATTTACTTATATTATTATTGCCTTCTAAAATTTATACCTTGATGTCTGCTCCAGATAAATCATCTTTGGCCATGATGAACTCATCTAAATTAACGTCCTCAGATAGGGTCATACGGCTTGTATGAATGTTAAAAATACGTCTTTTAGTCTTCTCATCTGGCATGGGGAATTCAATCTTTCTGTCAATACGACCTACAACAAATTCAATTTAAACATCACTCACACATGTAATTCAAAATGGGGCATGAGCATTTTTTGTTTATTGTGACATGACACATAATGTGTGAAAGGTGCGGACCAAATATCTGCCACAAAAATCAAATGATTTGATTTTGAACTTGAATTCCTCTTTTTTATAGTGAAGAGGGGAATATTGCATTAAGATGCATTTACTTCATCAAAATTTTACATTGGATTTCATGCATAAGGTGGAACCTCAGTGAATGGAAAATGTTTTTTTACCCTGGTATGACTCAGACTATCATTGTACATGAGTGCTGATACACAGCCTTTAAAATTAGCCATGTTGAACTTTCCTTTAATTGATAAAAGAATTGAGCTGGGATAGCACCACTAAATCACAGAAAATCATTGTTTACACACATCTGTTTTTTTGTTTGTTTCCAAATATAACTTTAATTAGAGAAACAAATTTGTTGTTCATGGGTATAAGACAGATATTGTATGTGGCAGGAATAATATCAGAACTAGACCCAAACATATGAGCAATTCACAATTAGGTCATGCAAGAAATCACTCACCTGGTCTAATAAGTGCTGGATCTAATGTTTCAATGCGGTTTGTTGCCATGACAACCTTGACATCACCACGTGAATCAAAGCCATCAAGCTGGTTGAGTAATTCTAACATTGTCCTTTGGATTTCTCTTTCACCACCAGAGTTTGACTCATACCTGGGGTAAAAATGTCTTATGTTGTTATTTCTCTTTATTTTCAAAAATAAATGTTTAATATTTTATTCTCAAAAAATTAATTTTGTTTCTCATTTTAGATATTGTTTCATTTTTTATATAAAAGTAGCACTGGTATAATTAGTTGGAAGAAGTAACACAATGAAGTTGAAACATGTTGGCAAGTTAAACCCCTAGTATAATTGTCTCTAAATAACCAAACAAAAAAAATAAACTTTAAAAAACAAACTGTATGGTTAGTTCCATCAAGTTACATCCATTAGATACATCCTAAAATATCATTAATTTTACAAGATTGTTGGTCATGCATGATGGTGTAAAGTAAAAAAATGAACATTATTGTTAGGAAAAGATGGGAATCGATATCAACATAATTAACTGAACAAGTACATAAAAATCTACAAGATTGTATTACTGGTAGTAGACATTAATAAAGTTTTACAGACTACAGATAGAAGCAAACAATGCTAGAAGAATGCCTTGAATACAGAGTCTTACTTAATTACATGAACATACAAAAATAGAATAACAAAACCAGAATAATAAATTAGTACACAGTCAAGCAGTCAGGATAGATTATAACAAGGTTAATGGGGTTATAAAATCTGAAGGCAATCTCTTTCTTTCTTTTTATTATCAGTATTATGGTTACGTGGTAACAGAGAGTCACACAATAGTTACACCTGCTCCAGAAAATATTGGCCATGAACAGCGCCCTCAGCAGTGAGTGATGATCAAAACATAGCACACACACTTACTGAAGAAAATAATATTAATTTCTTGCGAAATTTTGTTAATTACAAGGACTAGCCATGTTGACTTTATTACTACACAAACTAATAATGATCTGACTGATAAAAGTTAATTTAATACCAGAATGCCCACATTACTCTGTGTAATTAGTTGAGAGGGGCAGATTAAGCTCAGTATCTTTGACTCAAACAATCATAGCTATGACAACTACAGAATAATTTCAAACTAAGTTTCATAAATGCATCTACAGGGAGTACACAGCTGGGTCAACTTTGTCAATGTTGCCAACAACACAAAGTTCACAGACACATTACAAAACAAGACCATATTCTATTTTACCTTTTGGTTCCAATGGCATCAATTTCATCAACAAATACAATTGACGGTGCATGTTCCTCTGCAACACGGAATAACTCTCTAACAAGTTTAGGACCATCACCCTACAAAATATCAAAACAGTCTTCTTATCAGCAAGGTACTAAAGTCACAATATTGTAAGTGTAAGCAATCAATTAATCTATCTGGGGAACTAACAACACAGCAAGATAAACGTTTTCAACAACATAACATTGGCTGAAATTTAAATATGGCCTGACAGGAGAGGGTGGCATACTTATATACGAGTAGATGTATGTATATGTAGGACACCTGCAGTACTAGTATACAGTACATCTGTCGATTAAGCTTTGGCTTTTTAGACTTCAGCTTTGCTTAGGGTTCGCATAAACAAAAGGCTGCATTCACTACAATGTGGCATCAGTGTCATTTCCATTTGGTTCATGTAGCTTCGCTTCAGTGATGCTACAGCATTGTTACAGCATCAAAATGATGTTTTAATGTGAAGTTTGGACATACAAGTATTTGTCGAACACTGTTCGAAATAATGCTATATGTATAAATTGTATCATTTGAGAACATAACTTGAACTGTGACCACCTTGTTACATGATTTTTATACTTGCACTGATTTCTGTTATAAAATAAACATATTATTGTGACATTATATGGGAAGTATAGTGGACAGAAAAATGAGACAGAAAAGTAAACTGCAAAAAACCATATATGTCTGGTAAAATGTAACAGTGTTAAGATTGCAGCCTTTAGTAATTAGTTTGATTACACACTTAATGTATGAGTATACATCAGTAAAATGCATGTTCATAACAAAAAAATGTAAATGTATCTGAAAATGGTGAAAATATAACCAAGGTAAGTTGTTTTATAGATATATGAATAAATAATTTATTGGGCATCAGAAAAATACAGTACATAATATGTGGTCAGTGTTAATATAATTTTGTTCCAGTCGGTTAAATTATCACAGTTCACTTTCATTACTGGCCATTAAAAAATTATTGATGGATACCATATTTTGCAACAACTTGATTGAATAACTTTCACTTGAAATGAAAACTAATTTATCATGATGATTTTGACAGTGCAAGTGCAAAGACTCATATTGCACTATAATTATAACAGCCACAAAGAGGACATGCTGGAATTTTAGTTTGAGACTCAAACTGCTCCTATTAAATGCTCCTCAAATCTAAAACGACATACTGGTAAATTAATGTTACCATGAGCAATACGGGTACATGCTGGTTTGCATTATCAGAAATAAACTGGACATTTTTCCAGTTGATTTCAAGCAGTATGTTGATGAAAATGCTGAGAAGGTTTGACAAAATTAATATCGTAATAGATTTCTTGTTGTTTATGACACATAATTAAGCCCGATTTCGAATCAGATCATTAAATAATTTACTTGTACTATGAAAAATTAGGCAAAGCTGATTTGAAGCAGACACAAAGTAACAGGGAAGTGAAGGTGATGACCCATTGTGGGGAAGCTACCTTTTGCTTACTGATGCTGTAGTGAAAAGAAGCCAAAGCTGATTTGAAGCAGACACAAAGTATCGGGGAAGTGGAGGTGATGACCCATTGTGGGGAAGCTACCTTTTGCTTACTGATGCTGTAGTGAAAAGAAGCCAAAGCTGATTTGAAGCAGACACAAAGTAACGGGGAAGTGAAGGTGATGACCCATTGTGGGGAAGCTACCTTTTGCTTACTGATGCTGTAGTGAAAAGAAGCCAAAGCTGATTTGAAGCAGACACAAAGTAACGGGGAAGTGAAGGTGATGACCCATTGTGGGGAAGCTACCTTTTGCTTACTGACGCTGTAGTGAAAAGAAGCCAAAGTCGATTTGAAGCAGACACAAAGTAACGGGGAAGTGAAGGTGATGACCCATTGTGGGGAAGCTACCTTTTGCTTACTGATGCTGTAGTGAAAAGAAGCCAAAGCTGATTTGAAGCAGACACAAAGTAACGGGGAAGTGAAGGTGATGACCCATTGTGGGGAAGCTACCTTTTGCTTACTGATGCTGTAGTGAAAAGAAGCCAAAGCTGATTCTACAGCTGTACTGTTTGGAGAGTACATTGCAACACCACTAGTATCCATTAATTGTGAGTTGTCTGTCTTACAAATGTATTCACATAAGAAGAGTCTACTCACCAAATATTTTTGAATTAGTTCAGAGCCAACAACTCGAAGAAATGTAGCTGATGTCTGATTAGCTACAGCCTTGGCTAATAAAGTTTTACCTGCAAAGAATAGAACTCATTTTATGGTAGAGGCACAAGGGATGAGATTTCAAGATAAAATGAAAAAAAATATGAAATTTAAGTAACAGATTCTGGTCAAATGATGGATGGATCTTGGGTTTGATCACAACAGATTTAGTACAATAACACATCATCTCTGTGCTACGTATAGGCAAACTTACTGATTGCAATTTCAAACAATCAGCAAAAACAAAGAGCAAACAAATTATTGTTGGAACATAATCAGAAAAACAATACAGAGATAGAACACAGTGAAACCTTACCTGTTCCAGGTGGACCATATAAAATAACACCCTTGGGTGGTTTAATACCCATTTCTTCATAATATTCAGGATGTGTGAGAGGTAACTCTACAGATTCTTTGATTTCTTGTATCTGTGCATCCAAACCACCAATGTCTGCATAAGATTCTTGTGGTGCTTTCTCTAGTTTCATAACAGTTACCATAGGATCTGTGTCATCTCCTAATACACCTACAATGGCATGCACCTAATAACAGAATAAATTTGACAATTTCGTAATAGTTATCTCTAATTTCCCTTACATGTGTTCAACTACATTTCCTAAAAGATTCATGATCTTCTCTGAATGATTAATAATTTACAGCTGACACCAAAATAGAGTGACCTGAAAAATGCTGACATGCAGTGCAATTGCAATAATTCTACGATTATTGCCAACTGTGTTTGTTTTGACATCAAACATGCTTTTAGACAACCATTTTCAAATGGGTTTAGTAGATTTGGTTTCAAAAAGTTAGATTTCAATGAAAAAAATTGTGTGAAATAGGAAATTAGTGAATTATTGAATCTATAAGCATTCTACACTTAGACACAGTGAATTATTATTTGATTACAAGCATACAATTTCATTTCAAATTCAAACACTCATTTCAATTATTGTGAGATTTTCGATATGCAAATAATTGTACATGTGTTTTAATACTTTCTAATGGTTGAAAGTAAAGTCATAACAAATACCACTGACAAGGATCCTGGAAATATTACAAAGTTGCAAGGGATAATTGATAGTTTTCCTGATAACAGTAAGTGTTTTTATTAGATTTAGTTTGCTTGCAAATTTCATGACACATTTACTATAAAACTATATTGGCATGAAAAAATAAACAATGTTAACACTGTCCAAAATAAATTCTAAATTTGTAACCAAAT